ATCATTTAAAGGACCGATGTTCCCCTGTGAGATTTGAGATAGCCTCACCTCGTCTCATATATGAGTGTTCAATAATAGTATTTTGGAAAATAAACATTTTTTTCCTGACATTGTGAATAAAATGACAAAATATTATGAGTTAAAATTTAGGATAATTTTTTTGATAAATAAAATAATTGACCTTATTTTGTTACTTCGATTCATGTGAATTCATTTATTCAACATTCACGCATATTGTCTTGTGAAATATGAAATTACTTACAATAGGATTGGGAAAATAAAATAACTATGAACATAAGATAAAAATAACAAAAAAATTCTCTTGTCGATCAATAACTGGAACAATTAAGAAATATTTAGTATGTAGACCAAAAAATTAATGAAAATTATCAAATAACAGTGACCTTTTTTATCAACTGAAGGATTATTATCAGTGGTAGTGTTCTGATCTATTCATTTTTATAAACTATATTATCAGTATTATATAGTTTTTGGAAAAATAATAAAATTGAAAAAATTATTTCGAAAGATTACAATATCACTCCTTTATATGATAAAACGATGCTACAGTAGTGATATAATAAATATAACCTTCTTTTTGAAAAAAGGTGTTTTAATGTTATTTAAAATAAACAAATATATAACAAGTAAATGGCTTTATTGAAATTGAAGACATTGGATTCAGTTAGCTGAAATTAAAATAATCCTCATAGAATTTATTGATACGTTATATTATTTTTAGTATAAGAATAGATCTAACACTTATTAATATACTGCTTAAACAATGTTAGCTTAATTAAAAAGAACTTGAATAATAATAATAATAATAATAATAAATAATAGGTTAGAATCACCTTGAGTCCAGTGAGAAATGAATCGAAACCTGATTATGTAGTAAACAAAACGATCGTTAACATATAATTATGATATATGTAAAGAATGAATGTAAAGAATATTGTTTAAATTAATATAGAACGCATAAAATGCGGCATCACATGTTCAATAATTGGAATTATTAAAGATTAGGAATTGATTCATATTATCTAAAATAAAGTGTTATAAATTAAGATACAGACGTAGTAACCAATAAAAAAAGCACTCGATAAGTGATTAACACAATTTAACTCATCAAAACAGGAATTCTATCTGCTATCTATATGTAAACTTTTCTTTCTTGACTACTTTAGAATAAACTGAGTTGCTGAAGTACTATTGACAAGCACAGATATGAGAGTATCTAATTCAATGATGCACTTTTATGAATCATAAAAGGATTAAAATAGAAATTTGCAGTCAGCAAACAATGCAGAATATACATTGACTGGTTACTGACTCATAATCAATGTCATGCATGACTTGCTCTCAAGTGGTGACCGAATTTCAGCGACTAATAATACAGGGTTATGGAGATTGTTCAGTTTCATCAAGATCATAAATTGATCTGTGTTGGACAACCATTGGAAACCTGGACGACCGATTTGTCCTAATATGGAACTTCTCAGAAGTGCGCATCCACAATCCTGATGGTTCAACAGCGTACTATCTACAACTGTAAACTGACAGGACGATCGGTTGTTTGCATAGCATGCGGTTTATTTTTATTACCCAAGACTTTTATCAGATTTGTATCAAGAAATGAAAAACTTTCTAGTTGATTTATCTGTCTTCATTGTGATATGGATATATAGCACTGATATTTATTTTAAGGGCTATGACTAATCCCACTAGTAAGATAATAGTAAGGTCTTATTTTGTACAAGTAAGTATATTGGAAAACAAACTAAAAATGACGCATTCGAGGATGCATCAAGGATGATTGTGGAAGAATTTGTGAATATTGAAATTCAGAAACGATAAAATTTAGAAATAATCTATAAGTTTAGATATTGGCTAAATGTATATTTTTTTAAAACAAAGTATCACAAAATGACGACATCTAGGATTAATCTCAACTAAGCACCGGGCTAGAAACTACCTATAAATAATATGAGAAATATATAAGTTGAGAAACAATGTATTAAGTGCATCGGTATATTTGTTATATACACTTAAATGATAGAAGTTATTACTCCCTTTTCAATTATATAGATTTATAATACTATAATCCAGGATGGTTGGAGGCAGTCAGCAGGAAACCTTGAATTTAGGTTGAGTGTTAGTTAGCGCTTATCAGTAAAGCGTACCTACGATCTCCAGGGAATTGATGTTCCATGTAGGATTAGGATTTGTTTCGCTCGACTTCACAGTTCATAGTATTACTGCTAATCTATTTAGATTGCAACTGACAATACACAACTTTGATTATATAATAATTACATGACTTTTGATCTAATGAATGTCAGTTAGCTTTAAGTGTTATTAGTGAAATAAGCGTTCTAAATTACTATTCAAAAGTTTATTACTTCTTTTTCATAAACTACTAAGCCCATTCCAGGACAATTGTCATATAATTACTTCAAGAAACAGTAAAATGAATTTACATCTTAAAAAAACCAAACCTTTGTATGGTAAGATGTAAAATATAAAAATAGAACAGGACTTTGAAATTCTATGATAAAAAATTTCTAGGAAGTAGTAAAAACAACCAAAATAGATATTCTATTTACACATGCCCTCGTCTTACATTATATTTGTTCTTGTTTAGTTTTTTTTTGTCACAAAAACCAAAAACATCACATGCATACCAATTAAAAGGTAGTTTAGATAGATTTTTATTTTCCTTTAGAAAAACCAATGATAATTTAATAGAAATCTACAAAACCGTCAGCTGATGAAAGAAATAAAAAAAGGAGGCATAGAAAGATTTCAATAATTTAGCTTAGAAATTTATATATACAAGTACTGTAATGAATATTTATCTTTAAATGGTAGAGATTAAAGTGTTGCAATGACAGAGATATAATCAAACAATATTAAGTGCAATAGTTATCTACACTTTGTTGGTAAACATGATTTCATATCGGAGAATTATTTAACCCGATCCCATTCAATAGAACAATACAATTTTGAATTGTAAAACAAAAGGAAATTATTCATCTGTTCAGTAATTTTAATCAGATCTATTATATAAACAGTTTTAACGTTGTGTAATATAATATACATTGTGTGAAAAACATTTTCAGTTATTCCAATACAAAATTATTCCTTTTTGTCATTATATAATTCGAACAAATAATACAATTACAAACACATTTTCATTACAATTATGAGATGTGTAAGTAACGGTAACATTAATCTATGTTGTGGTAGCAGTAGTGTGGTGTGTGCTACTGATGTCGACAGATATGAGTAGTATGTATCACCAATTGAAAGTGGAGTGCCTGGTGGTAGAAGGTTGAGAGAATCGAAGAGAAGAGAACGAGAACAGAGTGATTGGTATGAAAACGGAGGAACACCAAAGTCTGAGACAATTGATGGATATTTTGCAAATGATGTATTACTATATGGGTCTCCGATTTTATCAAGATATTCTGTGGTGTTGTATTAAAATATATTTGGTTGTCCCCACTTTTTTTCTCGTTCACTACAGTAGCAAGAGTAGTGACAGTAGTAGGATTAGTATTATTAGTAGTAATAGTATAAATCCAAAGCTTTTAAATGTTTAATCAAAAACACTTAACAGAATATTGAGAATACTATCTTAAACTATTTAAAATCCACTAAGATATTTTGTGTTTATAGGAACAAGTACTGTGAGGAAGAGAAAGAAAATGCAGATGTCTTATGGTCAAGATAAAAATGAAAGGAACTGAGCTGGTAAAAATTAAAAAGGAAAAAATTAGAAAAAATTTTGAAAAAGTTGAATAAGCAACCAACATCTCACTCTCTACTTCACACATTAGAGGTTATGCAGTGTTAGCTGATATACAATTGACATTCATATTGTAAACTTTCATTTATTTCCTCAATTAATTATTTAATTCTATTACATTACTGGTTATATCAATTTCACATGTTCCATATGACCATAATGTTGAATAACTAATAAAATGGTTAGCTCAGTTAACTTAAAGCTAATGTGATACTGAAGAATATTTGGAAAAAATATTCATATAGAAGTCATCTAAATATTCAGTAATGTCATAATTATTTAGAATAGATGGATGGTTAGCAATGGAATCCAGAATATGTTTCGTCCCCCTTCAGACTTGTCAACTGGATACACCTGCATCCCACAACTAATGTTCGCATTATGACCCGAACCCAGTACCCTAAGCTTTCAATGCTCAACACGTTATCCATTGAGCAGCTGAGCCCACATAGCCAATAACTTATTCGAAAGACATGATGTTTATACCATCCCAAATAAGAATTTGAACTATCTCATTGTTGATATTCAAGACTAGATTTTGGTCTTATGTTCATTTTCTGTAGATTGCTTAGAAATAGACATTTTTGTCGCAAGTTATTGAGAATAGACTGACTGTGATCAGCAGCGCAATCCAGAAGGTGTATTTATTTCTACCTCGGAATCATTCGCTAAGGTTACAATAATTTATGATCGTCTTTTAAAAAAACTGAATGCAAATTCATTATGTGAAGTGAAGCCAGATATAGGATTATCAAACAATATAAAGCACCAAACAAAAGTCTGAAAACCCTTACGGGTACTGACCAACTTTAAAATCGAATAAAGAACAGTACACTTTTAAAACATTAAGTTATGAACTATAAGTTTCCACTTTTGCCTTTTACTTTATTTGTAATGGAATTCAATCCTAATCTAATGCCATTCCAATCTTTAACGTGACTTGTTTGACCTAGCATATCACAGACTTCATCAAAAGAGTAGGTAATAATAAGTTTTTTTCTAAAATACTTAGTAAATTATAAAGTTTAACCGAAAAATAAGTATTCGAAGCAGGTTTAATTTTGACTAATCCATTAACAAAATTCCCAAATAAGACGAAACACGAGTCCCGGATCAAATAGCCCTAACCAAATATCAAAAAATAATAAGTGAAGACAATAATATAACTTAAAACTGACAAATAACATACCTTAACAGAGCAAACAGCATTTGTATTTCGATGACAGCACTTATGTACAACTGAAAAAGAGCCTTTACCGATTTCCTCTAATAAGACATAATCTACTGAAAATGGTTTATATTTTACACCTGACAAGCCAACTAAGCGAAGAAAACGTCTTGCCACTGTAGGAGTTAAGGGTGGAAGATCTTCTGGAACATGTACTGGATTTGCACGATCTGTGTATTAAAGAAGAAATAAGAAAATGGTTATATGAATTGCAATCATAGCATTGTGTTACACTTCTGCATATGCGTGATAGTTGAAGTTCCTAAAACAATTATTCACGAAAATGGCGATATATTTTAAGAACCCGAGACAGTATTCTTCTCATAGAAAATATTTATTAAAGATAAATCATATTCATCACAAGAAAAACTACGTTTGTCACATTCAATAATTGTTAGTGACTCTTATATTTTATAGTCTTCTCTTATACACATCTTTATCTGAGTGCTGTCAAGCAAGTAACGAAAACCTGTGCTAATCTGAACGCAAGATATAAAGTTTAGGCGAAAGAATTGTATAATATAGTGTTGCGAGCAGTATAAAACTTCCATTGACGACAAACTACAGATGATATTAATAATTATATGACTAGCACAACCATAATCAAAAATGTACAGGTGTTTCTAAATGCAAGATATTCAATATCCGTTGGCCGGATATCATTAGCAACAACATACTGTGACAGAGAACAAACCCGTATCCAGCCGAAGAGGAAATTAGGAAAAAACGCTGGAAGTGAATAGGACATACATTGAGGAAATCATCAAACTTCATTACGAGGTAAGCGTTAACATTAAGTTCTCAAGGCAAAAGTAACGGAGGCAGACCAAACAACACGTTGAGTCAGGAATCGAAGGCAGACTTCAAAAGAAAGAATATCAACTGAAAACAAATGGGACGGAGAGCCCAGGAAGAAGTCAATGGAAGAATCCTGGTTGTTAGTCTATGATTCACAAAGAATAAGTAAGTAAGTGTTGTTTTGTGAGCAATATTGATTTTAAAGGGCTTGAAGATCCTTGTGATGGGTTTCTGAGATATTTCACGCATATGTTAGCACGATCTGTATCATGGCTTCGGAGATGGGTTTCTTGATGGTTTGTTTATTGGCCAGAGACCATTTGATGAGTTTGTTGGAGTAGAAATTCGGACAAAAGATCCATTGAAGATGAGTTTTTCCAATTTTTTGCGTAGTGAGGAAGCTGAAGTGCGTTTTAGTTTTTCTGAATAGTGTCTGAACACAACTTCATTTTGTGTGCTGTTAAATTGTTACTGCTGCGTATGTGTTCACATAGGTGTGAACGGAATTTTTAAAATTAAATATTGTATAGAAATTCTTTAGTGTTCTGCTACTAATAATAATATTTAATGAAAATAAATATAGAATATATTTACTAAGAACGAAATTACTGTGGTCAGCTATGTACATGAACACATATGTACGTAAATTCATTATGACAAGTCAGTAAACATTAAGGAAACATGTATAAATATGCATATGAATCACACCATTACATATATCGATAAAAGTGTGATACTGAAAAGACGAGATGTAGCTAGATTTCTACCAATACACATACCATCATCGTGTCGAGAACTATAATTGAATTTTTCTTTCGGTGAACTCAAACAAGTGATATTTGTTCCATTCAATTCTTCTTTATTAAGGTTAACATGGTTGTTGCAATTATTTGTAGTTGTGGTATTATGATTATCATTATGCTCTGCAAAAAATCCAGGAGCTATATAACTGAATTCACGAAATAACGCATGCGCTGATGCACTGGCTGGTGAACATGGCGAGTCTGTAAGTTGAAAGCATTTGAAAAAAAAACGTCAAGAAATTCTGTTTACGTAGAAATATTTAGTGAGCAAGATAACTAATAATGTATACAACATCGCACAAACGCAAGGATAAATAAATAATGAAGAATAAAATATTTAAGATTTTGCGAAAAATAAATACTGAGTGTATCTGTTATTGTGATCGAATGAAGGTTACAACTTAACTACACTAGATCAGTTAGATGACATCTAAACAAGAGATTAATCCATAAAGGAGTGGAAACAAAATATTTAGTTTTCTACAATGTTTGACAGTAGTGGTGTTAAATACTATTTCTAACTGTTATTGATCTTCATCATTAATTCAAATGACAATGCTTCATCTGTTGTAACATGACTGAGTGAAGTTGAAAAAAGTAAATCTAGAAACATAATATACTTGTTGCCAACTCCTTACAAGAACATCGAGTACCATAAAATCTACGAGACCATGTAATTTTAATTTGTATACATGCAGTGAATAATCTAACAAAAAAAGTGAACCGGAGCAAAACACGATCTAGATTTAAAATCTGTTCAGTAAACATTAAAAGTGTTTACAAAACTTATCAAAAATGCACAACTATAGTCCCCAATACAACAGGAATAATCATAACACTTAACTACGAAATACCTATTGCTGTAATTAAAAAAGTTCACATTTTCAACTTTAATCGATTTGAAAAGTTACTCTCAAATACTATCGAAGTTTATTATTGTAATTTGATAAATTGCCCAAACGTTTATTGCGTTATATATAGAATATTCACTTTTATTAACAACTCATTATAAGAAATTGTATCTCTGTTATAAACACTGTAGTAAATACCTACCATGTGGTGTACGTGATGTATATTCTGAATCGAAATTTAGGATGTCATTAATTGATGAGCAAGGAGGTTTAAATGGTGGTTGAATACAACCATTTAGTAAATCATCCCAATTGATTGTATTGAAAAATTCATGATTTTTTAAATGTTCAAATCCATCAGGTCCATATCCTAGCGTGGGAAAAAAACAAAAAAATTGATATACAGAAAAAAACTTCAAACGATAAACTTAACAATAAACACAATATTTGTTGGAAAGGCCTATGACACGGATTTATCAACCGGAATTGATATTTAAATAATTTATTTCATGGAATTAGGTTTTGTATAGATTGGTTGGTTCTCACAGTCCGAAGGATTAATGCCGTAGTATATTTCGGAAGAATGTCTGTGCACAAGTCTTGAGTCAAATATTTAGGGCTAGGTCCCCTTTATGAAAGATTACTCTCCCCACTTCCCGGACATGGCTACACTTAATTTCATTCCATTTTCAGAGCATAAAGTAGTCACTTAACGGTAAAACGGGGAAAACTTGAAGACAATAGAGCAGGAAACAACGAGATAGCCGAAGAGTCGGACTTCTAACAACTTACAGAAGTGTTTTGAGCAATGGAAAAAAATTGTACAAATGTATCCCAGAAAATAAGTCATATTTTGGATAAAAGACTATTGATATATCGTGAAATTTGTAAAAATAATATCCCCTCAGTTCGTGTATTTATTGAACAGACTGTATTTAATTCAAAATTAGGTAAGTAGTACCACAAAACATCTATACACTTTACTGTGTATAACTAAATAGCTTAAACTATAAATCTCTTAATATCCAGATAGTTATTGATTGTTGGATCCTAATAAAACACTGTGAATTAAGTGACCATGACAATATAAAGGGTTTAGAAAGTATTGAAGCTATTTAACTGTTTCGGCAGTTAATGACAATATCATTGGTATCTATTTATTATCAATCAAACGAAAATCATACAATAATCCAATCATACTGATAAAATTAAGAATAAATACAAAAAATGCAACAATTTCTTCATAATTATCATAATTTTAATGATTATATCTAAATTCAGTAGTATCTTATATTTAATGTATCATTTGAAGTCCAAAACATTTATCAGTTAAATTACATCTTATTCATGGAGGGAATTAATTTGGATTTAAATAAACTTGTATGCCTTTATGATTTTTTTCAAAAAAAAAACAAACCACTGAATTATTTGACATGAAAGTCATTCACTATTAGCCTATACTAACTAGTGAAAGAAATGCAAATTGCTGCTTGTGTACAGCTCTTATGAATCTATTATGTAAGCAGTAGGTTTCATTGTTTTGTGTATATAAACAGGTAGACAAACAGCTAGATAAGAAGAAACAGACAACTTCAGTTTTCCAACTTAAGAAATCGAATTGTATCACATTTTTCTGCAATCCATATCACTACCAAGAATAATCGTAGAATATAATCAATGTAAATAAAACAACAAATACTACAATCAAAATTAAGGGATTATATAATATATATACGCATATGCCTCTTTAGTTAACTCGAAGTTCCTGCCTTTTAAAGAATACATCCATTTGGTACAGGTATGGACAACCTTATCAGTATTCTTGTTACTTTTATTAATAATATTATCATTATCGTTCAATCCCATCAGTTTCTCAAGCTTCCACGGTGTTTTTGGTTATAACTAGCTAACATGAAACAATAGAATAAAAAATGGGTCTAAACAGTTCTCCTCCACTCGGTATTCTTGTTCTGTTTAGTGGGCTTAGTATGTACGTTCAATTAGGTAATTTCTGCCATATTTAAATATCATCATTTTGTTTAGCTTGACATCATTTTAAGTGATCTGATCAAACAAATTTTCCAGCACTAGTCATGCCTACTGTGTAATAAATATTGTGCAGTTATAGATCTCCGGCTCGACCCCTTCAAAGGCTACTGCCGGTCGCATTTCCGGATAAGAGAGGAGGGTTAGGGATAGAGGTGCCAACCCTTGCAAAGAAAACGCTAACCAAAATAACCACTTAAACTGCTGTGGGAGTTTAGGATTCTTCGTATAGAAGGGTTATGACACCTCATGGTAAAAGCCGGGATTATTCAGAAGAGTTGGCTCAAGATCCTTTATCGGCGGCCTATGCCTCCAAGGGAGGTAACAGGCTTAAGCAAGTAAATGGTCGTATACAAAAACATATATATACCTGAAGATTTAAACAGAATTGTCATATGTAGAAAATAATCATTCGAATAAATAAAAACGACAATCAACTAATGAGATAATTTAGTAAGTATAAAATCTGTTAGATAAATAATTCGGTAACAGCTTTCTTCTTACCTAGCCGATTCGATGGAGTTCGTTTGAAAAGAGCACGTAGTAAACTTTGAGCTGAAGGACTAAGAAACTGTGGCATTGATAATTTAGCTCTAAAAAACAAAACAAAATCAAGTTTAGTAAACAAAATGGTCATACAAAATAAAATATTTATTTTGCAATTAGTTTACCAAGCTTTTTAGTAAACTTGTTTTTTGCAACAAAGTTAACTCGTGATAACGTTGTATGTTTATTATCGTTTCATGATAGTTTATAAAAAAAAGAGATCTACAACATCAAGTAAATTAGTGGAAATTCTTTCTAACTTCTTTCCGTTTACTTAAATCAAACAGATTTCAATGCCAAATCTATGACATAAATTGACTTGATTTATGTTTACAGGTATAGTAAAACAAAATGGTCTATTCATTCCATCTTGATTCGTATCCAATTAAAAACTAGTGTGTATAAAACACAATAAACTCTAGTCAAAATGTTCATCACTTCATAAGAAAACTAATCACAGTTTATCTGAATAAGCTATTTAGTTAAAACAGAGTAAATATCTGAAATCATAAACTAGAGGCTATTTTTAGAGCATTTCAATAGTATTACGAAGTGAAAGTTAACAATCAAGAGAGAAATTAGCTTTCAAATGTAACCAAATGAAACCCAATATAAATTAATGAGAAAAAACAATTTGTCTTAAAATTTAATGTAATATGACACAATGCATACTGATAATGTCACTGCAGGATACATAATCTTTTGATATACAACATAAATGTCTATTTTACCGGTTATTGAAACTAAAAAATTTATGTGTTTTTAATAAGTTTAGACTAACAGCTTGAGGATTTTTGGTTTGATTTCAAAAATAACATGCTACATTCAAGAGTAGAACAATTCTTATCAATCTAATTATATTTTAACAGTTGAATTCACGAGCCATTCTAAGCTAGACCACCATTGAAAACCTGTAAGTACTGGACGGCCGTTTTGTCCTAGTATGACAATTCTCAGCAGTGTGCATCCACGATCCCGAACACGAGACTTGAACCCAGGGTCTTCAGTCTCAAATTATAACCATTTCATTGCAATATTTTCCAATACATATTTGGGAGATATTTCTCAGCAAAATTGGAAAACCAAAAGCTAACACTTGAACAAGTCAATAAAATCAATTAATATGCACACTTTAGTTATTTACGTTCAAACAACTATACATTGAAATATTCTATAATTTTTTTTCTAATTATGTACTGAATAACAAAACACAGAATACCCAGTTGTACAAAAGAAAAATATCTTAACATATACTACACAATAAACAGTAAATAAGAAAAAGATTAAAATTAAGGCATTGAAATGAACTCTTTAATTTCATTTAATTTAGCCTGTAAAAATTTTTTTGTTTCTGACACAGAAATATTTTATTCTGAAAAAATAAAAATAAAAACATTTTACATACTTTTAAATATTTTACAATTTTTCGTTATGTTTAATCTGTACAATACAACATCATTATTATATTAGATAATATAATTTAGGAAAGTAAAAATCTAAGTTATATAGAAATTATACCTGGTAAAATAGATAAGTTATTTCTTTCTTAAAAGTGTGAAGGTGAACAAGGTACATTACGTGTGAGTTGTTAAGTACTTGATATTTTATTGATTATCAGATGGTAACATCAACAATTACTAGTCGATGTACACACTGTGTTGTAATGAATTGAATACATGTTTATAAATATAAAGATAGAGTTGGTAATGAACTTGCAAAAGTGATTAGTTTAGGACTGAGAAACTTTTTTTTCAATAAGAAGAGCAGTTTGTTTGAAACAGTTAATTGTAATGAAGCTATTATGTGCTGTGCATAGCAACAAACCTATAATGGCAGATAGAAGTGAATGTTGTTTTTGGTGGGGTCATCAAACGATGTGCTCTACAAAACAATAACTATATTTCACAGATAAGGAAGAGAAAAGACCATGTACCATAAATCTGAGTACAAAGTAAACAGTCAAATGAAAATATTCTGAAGCGAAATTTCAATTTTCGTGTAGGTTCATTCAAAGGCATAAATTATGCAAACATCAAGAAAATAAACCTATTTTGTGGTAACCATTTGGTTTAGATTACAAAATCCATTTTTCATCAGTATTTTAAGTAATTCTTAGAACATCAATCTTAAGAATTGGATACCGAGATAAATTTTAACTACACACATTTATTCTTACGTACAAAGGATTATTTCATAATCTGACCATGTATCAAGTTATTGCAGTTAATCTTATGATCCACGAAAAATGTCAAACTAAAAGTCACTCTCATGAAAGCAATTACTACGGAAGAACGACAATTTAAACAATATAAAACTGGTAACTTATCCCCCACATATATGAAGTATAACAGCATTGTACACTTGTACATTAAAACACATAAATACGTTGTCACATCGTTACATACAATCAGTTTAGAATTATCGTGTAATTATTCAGCGGTACAATTATTCTCCTGTCGCGCTTGATTTCTAACAATTCAATTTCTATGAGAATGCTATTTCCTATATTGTAAAAAAGCTACATTTCAATAGTGAGTTGGAAATACTACAATCATAAACGTCTTTAGTTAATTTTTTTGCAAACCATGTGTGGTATACAATATTGTCTCCGTGTCAGTAAGTTAACTATACATGACGTCGAACTTGAAACATATGTATATCGGTTCAAGTTGTCATGCCACACTAGCACAGTGAGATGAAATTGTCTAAACGAAACCAAGAGTAGTAGAAGTATGAAAGATATCAGTAGTTGTAGAAGAGATTAAGTATTTTCCGATAAAAACATTCACTATAATACTAGACACTTTATTCAAGTCTCACTGATACACATCACTTAACAAACAAATGAGAGAAAAATCTTAGACAAAAAATACTACTTTTCATCAAACTCATATAAGAACAATATCTATACTGAATCGTTAATTATTAATAATGATTTTGATGTTACAGTTGTATATTAATTTATATGAAAATGAAGGAATAAACAAAGTCTCCTCTCGATGTCAAAAAGTAAAAAAGCAAACCAATGGTTTATTATTAACTATAATCATTAAATCTATTGGTAGGATCATAAACATCTTTGATTAAATCTACCAATTCTTCAAGTGAAAAATGCCTATTAACGGTTTACCGTTATCTCAAATTGCTAACCATTTATCTGAATGATCTATGTTCCATCTGTTAAATTGATATCACTGTACTAATTTGCAGTAGAGAAATGTAATTAAAGATTCTGCTTTACTTGACTATACACAACTTTAAGGAAGCTGTCAACAGAAAGTCGACTGTTAAGTAGTTGAATGTAGTTGGCATGAAACTCATAAGCAGTAGGTCATTAGCTGCACCGATAGAAGAATTGTGGTAATGTCTCAGACTGTGAAGTTGAGTGGGTGAGTACGAATCCTACAGGGAGTATTAATGCCCTCAAGACTGCAAATATTTTTTATTAACAGGGTTTCCTCCTGATTACCTATAACTCCCTAAAATCAAAACACACTACACACGACGCTGAGCACTTAGGATAGTGACCACACTGCAGCTTGATCACATGAATTACAAACAGTAATGAAAGCTTGGTCAATATTCTTTGTAGTTTAAATCTACAGCCGAAATCGACTATAATACTCTTGTCAGTATTTAACCGATGCAATAATGTACGTCGTTTCATAAGAGTATCCAAGAAGAGCGCAAATTGTATTACAGATAATTTGTTGTGAGAGAAAAACTTATTAGGAATAAATGAGCAAACTTTTTATCTATAATTTGTCGGTCTATGTTGATTATTACATTGAAATTATTGGAATGATCATTTAAAATATATCTTAATGTGATGAAAAAATTATTAATGTTAGTTTATTATAATGTATATACATCTTGAATATTTAGTCATGCTACATGACCAAGTTGGTTTTAGTTACATTAAATACAGAACTTTTCTAAGTTTATCAATTTAAACCAATTATTAGTAAATTAGCCTGGAAAAACGTCAACATTTTCAATAATTCTAACAATTCAACATAATTATTCTGCCAAGTTAGGGGTATACTAAAAAAGTCAGGTATTCACTACAAACCTACAGCCTGATACATATGTACATTGAACTAAGTAGTCATTACCAATGTAAGACGTTGAACAATGACTCGCATAAATTTACTAATATTATTACATAAAGAAGCAATTTTTCATTAAGAATAATCCACTCAACACTTATTTACGAGCACAAGTAACAAATGTGAATGGTTATTATTTCAGAAGTTTGAGGTTTACCTTTCGAAAAAAACAGATTTTCAAACATATAAAAACGTTTTGCGTGGTACACAAATCTATTTAGTATTAGATATATACAGAAGATCAATTAATTAATTTTTATGTTTCTGGTGGAAATCGTTGAATTTATTTTGTACTTTGTGACTTTTTGTTTTTCTGTACATTGAATTTTCTCCTGTTTTATTCTAGATATCCTGTTTCATTTATTCTTACAGCTTTTTTTCCCGATTATCTGCTACTAATATCAATGACAATTAATCTTCAATTCACTGTTTGTGTAAAACAAAACACAATGCGTAAATGTCACGGGCCTTGTTTTGTATTCTCTTTGGAAAAAACAAACCTCTCTACATGACCATTTCAATGCTTTCTCTTTAGCTGAGTTAGTTGGGAGTATTGATAACCACTGTTCACTGTATTTTCCAACTTATGTATACTTTTTGTTTCGAAGTTTTATCTTGCATTATTTGTTAAATAGATAGCAAATGCAACTCATAATGTATTATAAATTATTGCGTGACATGTATATTACTATATTTCAGTAGGTATTGTTTACAAACGTAGACATAGACAATATGAACATATACATTATCTCCATTTTTAGAGCATTCGTTTCGAAACTCTGAACTAAAACTCATTCACATTACGTTTGAGACTGTATTTCGAGATGAATTAGTTTTTTATTTATTCATATGTGAATATTCACTTGCATGTGATCATACTTAACGATTAAAATAAATCAGACTTACAAATACAAAAAAACACATATTAAAATACATTTCCATTATGTGTATTATGTGATAGACTCCGCAATAATATTTTTAAAGCATTGAAACATATCCATTTTAAATAATTTACAAATGTATTTAGTAAACAAAGTATCAAAACAATGGACATTTCAGTAGCAGTAATAATTCACAAGGATTTCTATTAATAATATGTATTTAATTTTTAGTAGTTCACTGTCTGCTTTGAAATGAACGGATAGTGATCTTGATGCCTAATTCATAAAAAGCAAAACACAGTCATGACTTATAGACAAAATTACAATGTGTGAATTATTTGCTAAATATCTTTTTCCACTAAATAAACTATAGAGTTCAAAAAAATATGCGCGGGGAATGAGGTCTTGGAATGAATGTTGAAATCGAGACGCATCTGATGATATGTAATTTAAACACAATAATAAATTTGAAGTTATTATTATAGCGATTACAAGTTCTCAAAACACAAACAACTGAGTCAGTTTTACGTGTTAGACTAACTGACTCATGGAGAAGGTTAACCTCTAAATTATGGCGCCGGATAACATGACTGTGTATGATCAAATAAAGTATCGCAAATGCCTTAATAGCCACATCAACAGATGAAAACAAAGGATACAACAATCATTGAATATTTATTATCCTTCAACAAGTTTCCCCAAATTAATCATTAAAACGATTAATTTTAATGCTTTAGTACGATACGTATTTACCAGTAGTACACACAGACTATGTACATTGCACGCGTTTTTTTGTATTTCATGTTACAACAACTTTGTAACATTTCGTACTATAAGTCAAACTGGAAAAGCTTTAAAACATAAAATTCAGTTGCATTAATCAAATTTTCAAGTTATCAATATACTTTCGATGTCATGTTATCGGACTATGAGAAAAAAACAGTTTGGAACGAATAACTAATCACAATTGTTTTAACGCTTATATAGATTTCATTGATTGAGGAAAATCTCTCAGAAAATAGCTGTTCTCCACCAAGACAATTATTTTCGACAAATTAGACAGAAAACAGTTGTATTTACTATCCCGATATATATATATATATATATATATATATATATAAGAACAGGCCAAGATGATAAGTAGTAAGAATCAGCAACTAAAAACCTGCAAGCCAACACAAAATAAAATTCCTAATTAGAAAATATTATTCTCATAGACATTTAGTTTCGACAATGCAATCCTTTAATTAAGTTGTAAAAATAAAAACCTAACAATAAATTATTTCATAAGAACAATTTAAGGCTCATTCAGTTATTAAAATACAGATATCACAATATAAACCAGTTAACTTATGAAATAAGTCGTTGTTCACATGCTCTTAGTAAAAAATGTGTTTACTGTCATGTCTTCCTATTAATGCTAAAACGTGTGAAGATTTCAGGGTCAGTTGGCCGCTCATTCAAAGTAAATTCATATTGGCAATAGAAAATAACAATATACATATTTAGCTATCTTTATTTGTGCGACGCAAATATATTTGGTGTCCGTTTGTACCAATATTTATGTGCTCAAATAAATAAAAATTAATTAATATCCTTGTTTGCACACAGCTAATGCGTTTTCTTCATTATCATCAACCACTGACTTTTTATTGAAAATACGTCACTATTAGTTTACTTACTTTAAAATCATTTGCATTGTATCTTTTCTACTCTCACTATGAAAAGGCAGCATACCAGTAAGTAATTCGTACATAAGTACTCCGAAACTCCACCAATCGGCAGCGGTACCATGTTCATGTCTACTTACAACTTCTGGAGCCATATATTCAACTGTTCCACAAAATGAATACGTTCGGTCACCAGCAGATTCAAAAATTGACTCCTTTGATAGGCCAAAATCAGTTAAACGTACATGACCATCTTCATTCAGTAGAACACTTTATCAATTTGTTAAAAAAAAGTACAAAAAAGTCCTAGTTCATTAATCAATATGAAATCACCAGGAGAACTATCATAAACAGAAAGGAATCAATCGCATTAATTTAGTCTATATTTATGAAATGAGTAAAATAAAATCAAGAGATTTACAGTATATTTTAAAGCTTTTAATATTCATTAATCCACAGACGTACTGCTCCCTGAAGGGAGCGATTACGATAGCTTTCGTTATACCTAAATCTGAAGTTGATATATTCATAGATTGCAATAAAATATCAAGTAAAATGTACAATGATTACAAGCAAAGATGGATAGTGGCTAGCAGTGGAATCCAGGATGCGCGTTTCGTCCTATTTGGAACCCGTCAGCTGGATGAACCTACATCTCAGACTTGATGCTCACTCTGGGACTCAGACCCAGTACCGTTCGCTTCAAATGCCATAGCGTTATCTACTTAGCTACAGAGTCCTGATAGTGCACAGTGATTTACGATATTAAAAACAAACAAATCAGAACATTCATTAGTATTTGCACATATAATCCGGTACGAACATAATTTTCTTGTAAAAAATATCTTTATCAATCTACTGAAAACAATTAAAGATTTTATTGAGAACACAGAAACCCAAGTTAAGCAACCAATGAAATGTAGGAGGCATTGGATAGCTGTTTCGTCCCAGAATGGGACTCCTTGGCAATGTGCATTCACGATCGTGCCAGGGATTGAACCAAGGTCCTTAGTTCTCATGGCTGAGTCCCATACTAGAATTAAACAGATGTCCAGTGATTCCTGATTTTTCATGGTTGCTCAACTTAGGTTGGTTCGTGATCTCAATAATATCTAACAATCTTCACTAAATCCTGTACTGATAATTAATAATAACTTCAATATGTAACTGGCTGTTTCCTGGTTATTACAATTCCAGACCAATATTTGATTTCTGTAGTGCTGGTTTCTTTTGTGTTGACATGAAAGTTAGACAACATAAACGTTTTCAGTAGTTAGCACAAAACAAGATTAGAATAACCAGTAAAAACGACTTAAAATTGCCAGCCAAAGATCTTACACACCGTCTACTGAGAAATATATGTGGTCGGATGGTTCGATAATAAAATCGCCAAGTGAAGACAGTATGGAATTTATTGAGGTATGAAAACCAGAAGCATAAAAATGCACTCTTAATCATGAGCGATGTAAGAACCTGTTATCAATACGTATTTGTACAAGTTGCTATTGATTCATCAACACAACAATCTGAGATCGAGATCAATATCGGGACAGAGGAAGTAGAAGTGACACCATTGACACTAAAAATAACTTTAAAATTTTAACTACTCCTAGCAAAAGCTTATTTTCCGTAAAATATTTGTTTTGTTTTACATACATTATTATTACGTCTAAAAATAATACTCGTAAGTTCTGGGTACAAAGTGCGCGTATGATAACTAACTACGTTTACCAAAAATCGTTTTTCTAACGAGTAACGACAATATGAACCTTCACAAAAACAAGAATTGATTCGTTGTTTCTAGTCTCCTAAAATCATGCAAAGAATTTAGTAAAGATTAAAATTTTTCACAATGGTGGAGATTTGTAGATCAGTGAGATGATTTTGTTGAAGTTTTGTTAAAGCTCAGAGAACAACATCAAAATGTTTCAAAAAGATATGTAAATGTAGAAAGGAGACTGTAAAATAATAAAAAATTTAAAGCCCGGCGGAAATAAAGCTTCCCCTCTAAAACCTGACATGAGATAAATTAAATATTGCTTTGAAGTTTATTCTCTGGAAGACTCTACAAAAAGATACACATCCAGCTTCACCCTGGGATCTTCGAGCATCTTACAGACTTTCAGCTTAGAGTAGGACAAAATTTTGTCTAAAGCAAATATAAGTTCAAAGCTCTTAAAACACACTTATAATTTTCATTTAAAATATTTTGAATACCAGGACTCTAAACAATAAGAAATATTTTTGAGTTAGATATCAATAAAAATTTGAAAGTTTTCAAGAGACTTACTTTTCAGGTTTTAGGTCTCTGTAAACTATCCCGTGACTATGTAAATAGTTGAGAGCCAATGCAATTTCAGCCAAATAGAATTTCACATCGTCTTCTGTAAACATGTACTTTACGGTAACGTAGAATAATGGAAACTTGAAGTTACCTCTTTGGACAAGCGGGAGAAAAGATCCCCTCCCCTTAAAAATTCCAGGATAAGATACACCGTTCCCTCAGTTTGAAAAGCTAAGGTAGTCAAATTAAACGGATGAGCATACCATAATGCAAATCAACAATGTATGGATGCTTAATTCTAGTTAAAATATCTCTTTCTAGCTTTGTCCTCAATCTATCACGAACTGCGAGTTCAGTCGAAATACCTATATTTCGAACCTTTCAAAACAGCCTTCTTTAGTACTTTCATTGCATACAAAGTTCCTTTATCATTTCCATTGTTTTTCCTCACAAGAAATACCTGTAGTAAATATAAGATTGTTGAGAACGACAATACCTTCCCAAAAGACCCTTGACCAATGACGTAAAGCAGATCAAAACATGATGGATCGACTTTTTCTGTATTGTGGGCTAGTTTTTCAATATTCACTTCAACCTCGGCAACATCGACCTAATACTGCCTAAGAATTAAAGAAATACAAACCTTTTGACAACCAACATCCGGTGCGTCATCTATAGATATGCACTTTAACTATTCATAATGACAGTAATCCAAAAAACATACCTCATTCGTGACATCGCTTGCCTTCAGGAATGGTTGACCAAGATGTGCAAGTGGCATCTCATTGAATACACCTTCGAAAAAGCGCACAAATTATTCCGAATATATTTTACTATTGAACTATGAAAAATCTTCAAATTTTAAGAAACAGGTTTACTATCGTCAGACTTTGATTGGTTTATATAAAGTTTTCTTCTAGAATAAAAAAGACTTTTTCATTATCCTGACAATCTTTTAAAGCTACCAAATTTGACGACCGCAGAACCTAATCGAAACTATTTGCAAATTGTAACTACTGACTAACATAATATAGTACTTTTTTGATGTTCATATCTTTCTGTGTCTTTTTCGTATTAAGGGCCAAGGAACTCAAACTTTGGATTAATATTATGAGGAAGTCATTAGTTACAAAATATATCACAAACTCATCTCCGCTTATAATTTCATACTAGGAAGTTCGCAAACGGAAAGCTCTCAAACTGATCAAGACTTTGTTTAAAGATCACTAACTTTAGTTCCTTCTTTCTAAAGCCAAATACTTTACTTTGATTATTAAGCGGATAAGATAGTGCGACTGCTCGTAAATGAAATCATGCAATTTGACTTGCATACGATGTGTAGATTCATCAGTTAATACGCACCTGCCTCTTCACCATAGTTTAAATGCATTGCTTTTAAGTTTGAGATCACGTCACAACCGATTATTTCGTCCTCCTGCAGAAAAATGTAGCTTCGAAAGTCTTACAAGGAGAATCGGTTTGTTTAAATAACTCATAGTTGACTCAGCACGGTAGAAAACCAGCTTCCATAGTTTTCGCTCACGTGAAACATGTTATGGCATGCATCGTTGTGTCGGCAGTTCTCGGTTTGATGCTGGCTTTCGCGCATCTTGAATGGTTTCAGTTCGTGCTTTGTAGCATTAATTTTAGAACTTATGCTTCGTTTGTAAGATTTTTTATGTCAGCTTTATTCATGTCTTCCAAGTCAAATAAGCCTGACATAATTATGGTTTCATTGCGTAAACACATCCACGCTGATCTGTCCTGAAAATCAGGACTGGGTTTATCATCTTGAGAATGAAACAATGATTCAAAAAAATCGTTGTACGAGTTAATGTTAATATCTTACAATCATTTGTAAAATGATAAAAAGTTACCTAGGTGATAAATAAAGAATATGTTTGTAATAACCCAATGAGTAGAAAAATTAGATTTTCTGATGTTCCGTGACTTAGTTTGAGCCACTTCTTCAGGGAATTAATAATAACCTGGGTGAGATTTCGCCTGCAAGTTTTTATAATTTCAACCGTATTACAATGACGTTTTCTGCAAAATACATCATTAAACTCAATTAGAGCTCGTCAGCTTATACAGAAAGATGTAGCTCTGAAAAGCTTTTATCAATTACTATTGAGTTAACGATAGCAGGCAGTAGCAATAAATATTCACGTTTATTAAGCACCACAGAAGCTTGGGAATTTCATACGGTTTCACTTGTGGTTAGTCAAACTTGTTATCAACGGACTGGGAAAATGGTTTAAACGCTCAGTTCGTCAATATTGCTGTGAATCGCCACGAAAATTTATAGGACTAAATAGTTCTTCGCATAGAAAATCGAATGCACTGTGTAAACTGAGGCTGCAATTAAACGCAACTCGATTTCGTAAATGTGCCCTTCAGCTTAGCAACCAATCAGAATGAGGCGGGAATTATTACGTCCGCCATCTTCGTAAGCACACATCCGAAAGTTAACTCATTCAGTGAGACATATAAGTAAGGATTTCCTTGATTTCACAAGGCCAGTGATTAAATAGAAACCCTGGGTAAGAGTGACCATACAGATCAAATTCTGGCTTTCCATATAGATGTCAACAACAATATGTCATTTAAAGCCAATACAAACGTTTGCAAAGCACATTTTTAGAAATCAAAATTTGGAGCTTCAGAATGATCTTCAAAATTTTCGTGAACGGTCTAGAATTTTACAGCGCACAATTAGTACCTGAAAATGGATTATCATGATTTTTGTCATGTTACGTACACAGAACACAATGAATAACATCTAGCTATCTGTTGTAGAGCTTTTAGACATTTCGACGCTGAAGCCAAAACTGGAGTTTCCTAGCTACTAGTTACTAATGGTCCGACCAACAGAGACAGTAACACCGCTAACCTTCTAGCAGAACAGTTCTCTTGGATATTTCAACCGATCCACATTAACCACATTGGTAAAAGCTTCATCTAAAACTCCAAAGGACTTTCCAAAGTGAACCTGAGTGCTGACTTGGTGTACCGTAAACTGCAGAATATAAGAAAAAACACTTCTCCTGGTCCGGGTATGGTTCATTTTGCTATACTGAGGGATGCATCTTCAATACTGACAACACCGCTTAGCATGATCTTCTCACATTCGCAATGGTGAGGAACATTAACGGAAATTTGGAAGCACGCTCATATCGCAGCAATTTTCAAGGGAAGCCGACTCATCGAAACTTCAAGCTACGGACCGAAGGCCCTTCTATCTATACCCTTAAAAATTATGGAGTCCCTGGTATGCAACGGTATACACGACTATTTATCATCCCTAAACTTCTTTTCACCCCAACATCACGGTCTCAGGAAGGGACACTCTCAACAGTCAACCTGCTGACTGTGGTGGACGGATGGACAACCATCCTTGATCGCACGGAGAAGGTTGACATCATTTACCTTGACCTCTAAAAAGTTTTTGATAGGGTTAACAATATATGTTTTATGAACAAGCTCAAACGACTAATTATCAACTCGCTTTTAATTGATTGGCTCACTTCGTGTCCAAAAGATCGACATTTTAAGATCAGGGTTAACTTCACTTTTTCTTAAGCTATGAAATGTATTAGTGGGGTTCCCCAGGATTCAATATTAGGACCTCTACTTTTCTTGATTTATATAAACGATCTTCCACAACGGGTATCTTCAGACTTGAGCAGATAACTACGAACTTACCTTCAACACTTCAAACTGTAAAGTAATCCACCTGAGACATGTTGCAGATTACAGATACAACCTAGGCGACTTCTCTCTAGAAGCATCCCAAGTTGAAAACATTTAGGGGTGCTGGAACACTACGACTTGAATTCTTACTCTAACTTTGAAAAATTGCTTTTCGGAAAAACTTTGCACTGGTAACATCAAGGCGCTTTTTTGGCCAGTTTGGTGGAAGAACGCTTCGCATAATCTTCAATAGTTTTATTCGTCGCCATTTAGTGTACGGAAACATAGTATTACCTCCCTCACTCCAAAATATAAGGACACTCTGTAACCTATCGGTTCAGGGTCTCAAATTCAGGACTTGTGCAGAGAGCCTCCAGTCACCAAATCTTTACCCATCACAGTATAGACGTATTAGAGGTGACCTAATGGCTTACAGCATCCTAAATACTCCTGGACATCCTCTTAAACATTTACGTAATTTTGTCTCCAACAACAATCTAAGGGGTAACATCTAGAATCTGAAGAACCGACAGAGCAGAACGGACTGTAGACAAAACTGCTACTCCCTAAGAGTAGTCAAATGCCGGAATCTGCTGTCGACTGAGATAGACTAAGCGACTTCTCAGGAGTCCTTTATGAGAAAACTGGACATATTCTTAAGGACTAAGGATAGTATTTCACTATGACGTACCAATTTCTTTTTCCCCTTTTATCGATAATACACCTACGTTTCTGCCTACAGGTTCCTACCCGTTAGGCAATGGCTTCTTCTACTCCGTCCAGAACCATTTGAACCATTTAATTTTCCATACCTCGTTCGCTCATCTTAACCTAGAGTAAGTTGTCAGGAAAAAGGTCAAAAACCTCCAACTAATTTAATTCCTGGAATCACACGGCTCCCGCATAATGAGCGACTGGCATATCAAAATAAATTTCCATTGTCATACAGAGAAATAGCGGTGACTTTGTGGAATTATGGCCTATTTCAATATTGGTACATTTATCTTCGCTGCCGTAATGACAGACCTGACCCTAAAATTGTAGTTTTGCTATGATATGACTATCTAATCCATAAGATCTCACGTGGAGGTTAAATCATTGTTTACACTGAATAGCGATATTCAGCACTTCCGAAGAACATATTTCGGAGAGTGATATACTGGATAAAAATAAAAGGTTACGTGAAGTGACCACGCCTACATAGCTGAGTCATACTGTTTCGATTAACTGTTCCCGCGTTCACCATCATGTGAATTTTTTCGGTTATCTCATGTTCAGCTTCAACGATCGCAGGGTTAGAATCAACGCCACTACAGGCAAAGCCTCGGTTCAGCATGAACACCCTGTCATCCGTTCCGTATTATGCGCACACATGATCCACTTATTTAAACCGCATCACTATTTTTTGCGCAAAAGTAAGAACCAATTGTCCAACTAATGGAAGTGAAAGCTTAGGTGCTCTGTGTTTATTGCGTCTGGTCGCAGATATCCGGTCTTTCGTGCTCTCTCTTGTTGACGTTGTGGCATTTATTTGTACACATTCAACGCACATTTGCGTAGAAAATCACTTTTCAGTACATGTCATTTTAAACGACGATCCAATGGTTCAGCACGATTAATCATGTTATTGTCCTGTGTTCGCATGTGGTCACTGAAAGTTGTGACCCACGCAGTCTTTTTATTGAGCGGATTTCAGTCAAGAGTCCATCTCTGGATAAAAATCCTCTTAGTTCACTTCTTCTATTCAAGGGACTGCAGAACTGCACTCGAGTGCCTCAGCCTGAAATATAACTGTACATATTTATCTCTAAACATTTGTGCTTTCATTATCTTTATATCAGCTATAGCGAGTTCATAGCCAGTTTATTCTTCAACACATCCGACCACCTGAATTATACAAGCCTCAAAATTTCCTCGTCCTTGAAAGCCAATAGTCTCGTTAACAGATCACATATCATCCACGAATTTTCACAAGGGTGGGTATGTGTCTTCTGGCATGACGTTTTTACGTAATCATCCTGTTGTAGAACCACGTAAAATATTAGCCATCACCTCAGAAAATTAGCACCAAAACGTCGTTTTAAATTC